TGGCTGAAAACCCGGAAAGGTGTGTTTCAGGGTTGTATCCTTTTACAATACTTATTCAGTCTGTATGCTGAGCAAATAATTGGTGAAGCTGGACTGTATGAAGAAGAATACAGTGTCATGGATTGGAGGAAGGCTCATTAACAGGCTGCATTGTGCGAATGATACAACCTTGGTGAAAGTGAAGAAGACGTGAGGCACTTACTAGTGAAGATCAAAGACTAAAGTATAGGTTAAATTTCAACATAATGAAGACAGAAGTATTCACAACAAGACCAATAAACAACATAATGATAAATGGAGAAAAGATTGAAGTTGTCAAGTATTTATTTTCCTTTGCTCTACAATCAACACCCATGGAAGCAGCAGTGAAGAAATCAAACTATGTATTAAACTGGGCAAATCTGCTGCAAAAGACCTCTTTGTAGTGTTAAAGAACAAAGATCTCACTTTGAAGAGCAAGGTTTTCCATACTCAAGCCATGGCATTTTCAGTCACCGTATGTGCTTATGAAAGCTGGACAATGAATAAGGAAGATCGAAGAATTGATGTGTTTGAACTGTGGTGTTGGCAAAGAATATTGAATACCTATCCAGGAACTTCCAGCTATGTGACTATTTGGTGTTTACTGAGGCTTTGATGAGGCTTTGATGAGACCTCAATCTAAAAATATTCAGATCTTGACTCCCAAGTAAATCCATATGTGTGTTACGATGATGGAATTAAGTTTTCTTCATCAGATGGGAAAAAAAGAAGATCGATACAAGATTATATAAATGCCAAAGAGAATTAAAAGAAATTTCCACCAGAAAGGGTGAGTTTGAATTCTCAAATGTTTGGTTAGTAGCTGAGTGCTAACTGTTGGTGCCACCCAGGGAAATATATACTTCTAAGTAAATAACTTATACCCTAAGTGCCCTTTCACCACCTTCGTTCCTGCAGTAAGATATGTTGAATTCCTAAGAAGATGAGGCTATAAAGATCTGCAGAACTTCCCATCACCTCCTGCTGGATTCAGTTATCTGAGAGGGTGAGATTTGTGAATCAGCAAGCAATGTTTTACTGCAGTTACAAAATGTATGAAATTGTTACCTTGTCATTTAAATTTATGTGCATAACTCTTTTCAGTCTTGGACAAAATGCCTTAACACCTAATACCATCCCAAAGCATTCCACTCAGATCCTGCTCCTAGTTTGTCATGAATGATATATTTGCCTGCTTGAAACTCTTCAATGATTTATATCCCTTGGCACTTAAAGGATTCAAAGTCCTTATGAAGCCCCCTGGGTCCTGCATGATGAGGCCTCTGCCTTATCCTCCAGACTCTCATAACCCCTGTCTGACCTTCATTCGCTCTGCTCAGCAGCACTGACATTCCTTCCATTCCTAAGCAGTGCCAAACTCTGTTGTATCACAGGCTAAGACCATGGACTGCTAGAAGACTGAACAAATCCATCTTGGAAGAAGTATAGGCAGAATGCTCCTTAGAAGTGAGGATGCCAAGACTTTGTCTCACGTACTTTGGATATGTTATCAGGGGGATCACTCTCTGGAGAAAGACATCATGTTTGGAAAAGTAGAGGGCTAACGAAGAGAAAAGAGCCTCAACAAGATGAATTGACAAAGTGACTGTAAGAATGGGCTGAAACATGGCAGTGATTGTGAGGATGGCTCAGGACGGGGTGGAGTTTTGTTCTGTTACACATAGGGTCACTATGAGTTGGAACCAAATTGACAGCACCTAAGAGTGACAATGACAGTGTAACCTGGAATCACATTTCGGTTTTTCATGTGTGTTTTTAATAGTTCCCTACACTGTTTATTGAAAAACCATTCTTTCTCTTCACTGGTCCAGAATCTCAATGTCATTAGGAGAAATATAGAACAGTGTTCATAGTAATGTTCTTGGATGACTAGTCTGTTTGTCGTCTATTGTATTCCATTTGTCTGTTTGTCTATCCTTGTTCCAATAACCACACTATCTTATTTATATAGCTTTATAACAAGCCTTGATGACTTGTAGAGGAAGTCTTCCATCTTCTGTTATTTTCTTTTTTTAAGATTTTCCGGGATAATCTTGGTTCTTTACATTTATTTTTATATAACTCTTAGAATATGTTAATTTCTATTAAAAAAACCATTTGGATTATTTATCTTTTTTATTAAAATATAGAAAAATTCACCCTTATAATGTACAGTTTTGCCATAATTTTGATTGGGACTGCATTGAATTTATTTAGGAATTTAGAAAGAATGAACATATTTCAATATTATGTTTTTCTTCTGTGGACATGGTATATCCATTTATTTCTGTCAGTAATGTTTCTAGAGTTCTTTCTAGAGATCTCTTTATAGTGACCTTACATTGAATTTATTTCTAGATCTTTGATGGCTTATGATATTTTTTTAAATAATACCTTTAAGTTTCACTGTCTGTTACTGACTTTTTTTGATATCTTGATCTTGTATCTAGCAATTTTTCTGAAGTCATTTGTTAATTTTAATAATTTATCTGTAGAATATATTTTTTTATGTAAACAATTCTGTCATTTCTGATAATGACAGTTCTATTTTTCATTTCTAATACTTAAAGCAATTATTACTTTATTCCGAGTATTTAATCTGGTTAGGACTTCAAGTACAATGAAATGGTGACAGTGAATATTCCTTATCTCGTTCCCAGTATCAGAGCAAAGGCTTTGAACATTTTACTATTAAGTAATATGTTTGCTACAGGTTTTTTGTGGATAGTCTTAGGTCAAGTGAGTTTTTTAGTAGCTTTTTTTTTTTTTTTTTTGGTAGCTTGTGTCTTAATTTCTAAAGATATGGTTTACTTTAAAAGTTATTTTTTTGATAATGATTTTTAACTTATTTGTATTTTAATCAGAAAGCACAATTTATATAATTTTAATCCATTGAAACTTGTTGAGATTTGCTTATTGTCCTTTTTTTTGGGGTGGGGGGAGCCACCTTATCCTTTTTATTTCTTCATACTTTTTTTTTTAACTTTTATTGTGGTGAAAACATACACATCGAGACATTCACCAACATAAAAACTTCCACATTTATAGCTCAGGACATTAATGACATTTTTCATATTATGCCACCATTACCATAAATTCAATGCCTCTCAAACAAAAGCTTAAAAATATGGAACGCTTCATGAATTTTCGTGTCATCCTTGCGCAGGGGCCATGTTAATCTTCTCTGTATTGTTCCAATTTTAGTATGTGTGCTGCCCAAGCGAGCACTATGGTCAGTTTTTATAAATACTCTTAAAATATATGTGTACTTCAAAATAAAGCACATTCACCAGGAACTGGAAGAACTACTCCATATTGTGCTTATTATGCCAGCTTTGTTGGTTGTGAAGTTTAAATCTTTTGTGTCTATACTGAATTTTTTTTATGTTTGTGCTACCAATCACAGAGAGAGGTATATTAATATATCCAATTAATCTGTGAGTTTTGTTTCTCTTTGAGGTTTTGTTAATTGTTGCTTTATATATTTTAAGGCTGTGTTATTAGATGTCAAAAAAACCCCCCAAATCCATTGCTGTCAAATCAGTTCTGACTTCTTGCAATCACATAGGACAGAGTAGAACTGCTCTGTAGGGTTTCCAAGACTGTAATCTTTACAGAAGCAAATGACATCTTTCTCCCATGGAGCAACTGATAGATTCAAGTCGCCAATATGTTTAGGTTACTAGCTGAGTGCTTTAAGCATTGAGCTACCAAAAGTCCATGTATGAAGTGCTTATATCTTTCTGAGGAATTAAACTTTTTTCATGCAGTGACCTATCTTTAGAAATATACGTTTTACTTCTAAACTCACTTTTAAATTGAGCTCTAGTTCATATAGCATAAAATTTACCCCTTAAAGTGTACCATGTGGACCTTCTTAGGATATTTGTAGAGTTGTGCTGCCATCATCATGCTCCCATTCTGGAACATTTTCATTACCCCAGAAAAAAAACATACCCATTAGCAGTCACGCAAATTACCTATCATTAGGAATTGCATGGGTCCCTACTTACAGAGATCTGAAATAACTGTTAATTAAATATGAAGTCTGGAGGGAGTCCTGGACTGTTATAGTGGCTCCTTGATGTCAACAGCAACCTAAAAGAATGTTTTTCTTGTTTTGACTAAAGATTTTCTTTTTTTAAATATAGAAACTATCATATCTTTTCCCCAAACAGTGTCCTTATTACACATTGTTTTGCCAGCTGTACAACCTTCCCCCCTGTGCATTATTTTCACAAGCATGCTATGCCATTTTTTTTTTTTTTTTTAACATACCTAAGGCATTTGACTGCTACCCGGAAGGCTAGTGGTTCAAACGCACCAGCCACTCCTTGGAAGGAAGATTGGGTAAACTACTCCCATAGAGATAACGCCTTGGAAATCCAGGGAGGGCCACTGTGAGTCGGAAATGACTTGACTGCAGTGAGGTTTTTTTTTTTGGTTTTGCTGACTTCAGTTGACTCTTAAGAAGACATAATTAAACTATGAAATAAGAAGACATAACATAATCTAATGGTTTCAGTTAAGACACTCTGATAAGATTTTCTCATTAATAGAAACACATGTACGGTGTTGATTGTTTATTTTCTAATTTCCAAGTACTACCAAACTTGACTTCTTCATCATGGTTTATACCTTTGCTATAATATCGATGAAAAGTAACATTTTCAAACTATTTTCACACACACAAGCAGGATAAAGAACAGAACAAAAGATAATGAACATGTCAATATGATTTACTGTAATAGGACAGGTGAATGAGACTGAAATTCACTTTTGGAAATGTTAAACGATATGAACAGTATATGCATGGACTCACTATGCCAGAATTGTTTTACTTAAATTTTGTTAGTTCTGTGCATTATATATGTGGATGTGTTATCTGTGAAAATACAGTAATTGATAAATTTAAGTGTCCAATTGTGAAGGAACCTCCAGAATTTAAAATAGTTGACACTTTGTTTTCGTGTTTTTAGTTCATCTAGTTGATATCTGGAACATGATTGAAGCCTTCAGAGATAATGGCCTTAATACACTGGACCATAACACCGAGATCAGCGTGTCCCGCCTTGAAACTATCATCTCATCTATCTACTATCAGCTGAACAAACGCCTTCCTTCTACTCACCAGATCAGTGTGGAACAGTCCATCAGCCTCCTCCTTAACTTTATGATTGCTGCATATGACAGGCTAGTACCTTACATGCTTATTTCATTTTAATAAAGTCTGCCTCTTCAAAATCCTTCTTCCATACTGCCTTGCTAAGAATTGTAAGCTTAGAACCACAGGTAAGGGAAATTATTTACTGTAAGTCCCTTCTGTTATGTTGTTGTTGTTGTTATGTGCCATCGAGTCAGCCCCGACTCATAGCGACCCCTCCTTGGGTTTCCGAGGCAGTATCACTACGGAAGTAGGATTGCCCAACCTTCCTTCCGAGGAGTGGCTGGTGGGTTTGAACCGCCAGCCGTCTGGTTAGCAGGCAAGTGTCTTAGCCACTATGCTACCAGAGCTCCCAAGTCCCTTCTAGACTTGTTAAATGTCAGAATGACTTACTGTCTTAGGGCATGCCACTCATTAACCTCTGTAATATTATGGAGAATCACAGTACCTCAGAAATACTGTTTGATTAAATTATGGGAACCTTACTATAATTGTTGTCTATCAATGAAATATAGCTTGGTTTTGAATTTATGGGGTCCTTTTATCTGACTTTTAAGGCTAACCCTTTTTTAAACTGTGTGATGACAAATGCTTGGATTGTAATATCTATTTTCTTTTTATCATCGGAAAACTATTTTAAATTTTTCAGAGTAGAACATGATCTAGTAGGTCTCACAGAAAAAGAAGAAAATTATTTTAGTGTATTTCACATTAAAACAGAAAAGATTTGCTGTCTTTGTATTCATGGAGAATTAAATTAGTATTACAAAAAAACAAAAAAAAGACAGCTTAAAAAAATGGAAGCACAGAGTTAAGGTTATCTATTCTAAGAATCAAGAATTCAGGTTTTGGATCCCAACTATATTATCTACCTTCTGAGCTGGATGGATTAATGCTCTCTTCTTCATTTTCTCTTTGTAGACCTATTTTGAGTTCATGTATTTCTAAAATACTTTTAGTTAAACTTTATAATAGTGAGGATTCTGTGACTTACTGGTAAAACTGTGCAAGTGTCAAAGCCAAGTCACAGGGAGGAAGTGGGAAGAGTGCTGTTACTTTGTGGGGATTGCAGTTAATGACACAAAACAAAATGTATATGAATTTTTGAATGGAAAATCAATTTCTATGTAAACTTTCAGCCAAATCACAATAAAAAGTCAAGAGAAATATGTCAGCAACATATGTGGTTAAGGAATAAAAGAAAGTTGAAAAATCTTAAGTATAATATTAAATAAAATATGTACAAAAATATTTTTAAAAAAACCATACACACACACAAAAACAACCTATATGGGACCAAATAGACAACAGCAACTTGAAAGATTAGATAGGAACCTTAGGGACAGTGAGTTTGTGTTACTGGGGAACAAACAACTCAGAAAAGGAAGATGAGAGTGGCTGCACAGCTTGAAGACGGTAATTAGTGTCACTGAATTGTATATGTAGAAACTGTTGAATTTCTATGTATTTTGCTATGTATATGTTTAACAACAGCAAGAGAACATTAAAAAAAAAAGTCAAATCATTATTTAGGCACTCAGTTAATTCACAACATTTTAATAAGTGTTACCCATTTAACAGAAATTTATTTAAAGAAATTTGAAATTTTTATGTAGGTGGTTTGATGTCCTTCATCAATTTTTGAAAATAAACAGTAATATTCTCTTCATATACTACTTTTGTCCTTTTCTTTATTCGTTTTTCTAGAATTTCAAGCACATGTTATCTTATAACTTCTTGCTGGGCGATTTATGTTTTCTCTTACTATCTTTTGTGAATTTGTTATCTGTTTGTCTTTCTAGGCTTCATTCTAGATAATTTAAAAAAAAAAAATCTGTCTTCCAGTTTACTTACTCTGTCTTCACCTGTGTCTACTTTGCTTTTTCTTTATTGTGGGGAAATACATTTTTTTATATAATGAAAAAAACTTGCCATTTCAATCACTCTTAAGTGTACAGCTCAGTAACATTAATTACATTCACCATACTGTTTACTCAGCATTCATTTCCAAAAATTTTTCATCACCCTAAATGGAAACGCAGTACTCCTTAAGCAATAACTCCCTATTTCTCCTTCCTCCTAGCCCCTCATGTTGTTGTTGTTATGTGCCGTTGAGTTGGATAACTCATAGCGACCCCTCCTTGGGTTTCCAAGGCAGTACCACTACTAAAGTAGATTGCTCCTTCCGAGGAGTGGCTGGTGGGTTTGAACAGCCAGCCTTCTAGTTAGCAGTCAAGTGCCTTAGGCACTATGCTACCAGAGCTCCTCTAGCCCCTCATAACCACTGACAAACTTTTCTCTATGCATTTTGATGTTCTGAATATTTCGTATAAATTGACTCATACAGTATTTGTCATTTTGGTTCTGACTTACTTCACTTAGTAAAATGTTTTCAAGGTCCATGCATATTGTAGCATGTATCAGAACTTCATTTCTCTTTATGGCTGAATAATATTACATTGTATGTCTGTAATACATTTGTTTATCCATTCATCTGTTGCTGTTTGGGTTGTTTGCACTTTGGCTACTGTAAATAATTCTGCAGTGAACATCTGTGCACAGGTATCTGCTTTTAATTTCTTTTGGGTATATATCTAGCAGGGAATTGATGGCTTATATGGTAGCTCTGTGTTTGATTTTTTTGAGGAACAACTAAATGTTTTACACAGCAACTGCATTTTATATTCCCACTAGCAATGCTTGAAGGTTCTGATTTCTCTACATGGCTCTCCATTACTTGTTATGTTTTGCTTTTCTCATAATAGCTATCCCAGTGGAAGTGAAACGGTATCATTCTTTGGTTGTTATTTTCCTTTTTTTTTTAAGTTTTATTTACATTCCTTTATTTTTTTATCTATTTATTTTTTAAAATTGTGATTTGGGTGAAAATTTACAGAGCAAATTCACTTTCCATACAGCAGTTAACACACACGTTGTCTCATGACATTGACCACAATTTACTCCAATGCAACAGCTCCCCTCCCACTTCCTCCTGATAGTTACCTCTTCCCAGTGTCCATTCCTCCATGTACTCCTGCCCCCTGAGCTGTCTCCCTGTGCATAAACAGCCGTTCTTTCTCCCATAATTGTTTTCTCCAAGGAGTGTATCTACCTCAGGTAAATGTTCAGCTCATATGCCTGTCCTCTGTTTGGCTGGAAGCCACAGGTATGGGTTCAATTCCAGACCAGAAGGGCAGCTAGGGACCATAGTCTCAGTGGTTCTACCAGTCTCTATCAGACCAGCAAACCTGGTCCCCCCCTTTTTTTTTTCTCCCCAAATGATTTTTAGTTTTGTTTCACATGTTCTCCCTTTCTATCCAGGATCTCCTACATAGATCCCCCTCTATTTTAATTTCTTAAAGAGAATGATGCTGAACATCTTTTCATGTGCTTGTTGGACATTGGTATATCTTTGGAGAAATATCTATTCAAGTCTTTGGCCCATTTTTAATTGGATTGTTTTTGTTACTGAGTTAATATAAGTTCTTTATACATTCTAGGTATTAAACCCTTACCAGTTACAAGGATACCAAATATTTTCTCTCATTCTGTAGGTTGTCTCTTCACTTTCATGATAAAGTCCTCTGCACAAAATTTTTAATTTTGATGAAATCCATTTTTATTGTTATCTTTTGTTGCTAATGTTTTTAATATTATGTCTAAGAATCCATTGTCAAAAGTTACGTTCCAAAGCATTGTTCATATGTTTTCATCTAAGAGTTTTATGGTTTTAGTTCTTATATTTAGACCCTTGATATAATTTGAGTTAATTTTCCTGTGTAATGTGAGGTATGGGTCCATTGTCATTGTTTTGCACATGGACATCTAGTTGTCCTGGCACCAGTTATTGAAGAGACTTCTTTCCCCATTAAATGGATTTGTAATCTTTGTCAAAAATTATTTGACCATATATGTATGGTTTCATTTGAACAGGATGTTTGTAGTTATATCAGTGCCACTCTGTTTTGATTACTGTATCTTTATAGTAAGGTTTGAAATCAGGAAATCTTTTTCAAAATCATTTAACTATTCAAGGCCCTTGCTATTCTTTAAAATTTTGATACTATTTTATTTTATAACATAGAAAATATGGCCTGCATCACACAATGACAGACTCATTGATAGAGACTAATGCCCTCATCTGTTGAGTAATAAGGTGTTCTCTATTATGATTTATCCTGTTAACAGAGGCTTAGTCTCTTCATTTACTAAAAGGAAGTTCTTTATTTGAACTAGTTTTCTCTCTTTGCTATTTTGTATGAATTTGAGAATAGGTTTATCCATTTCTGCAAAAAGGTTGTTGGAATTTTGATAGAGAGTATATTGAATCTGTAGGTAATTTTGAGTAGTATTAGTAACATCTTTATATTAATTCTTCTAATCTGTGAACACAGGATGTCTTTACATTTATTTAAATCTCCCATAATTTCTTTCAGCCATGTCTTACAGTTTTCAGTATACAAGTCTTTCACTTCCTTTGTTAAATATATTCTAGGCATTTTATTTTATTTTATTTTTTATTCTGATTTGGATGAAGATTTACAGAGCAAATTCACTTTCCATACAGCAGTTCAC